CCTGGTACTCCGTCGTACATTCTAAGTGTTCTCTGTGCTGAGTTTTGTCCTGCTGTGATCTGCAGCTACACGATGACGTGATGAGAAATAACAGAGAACGCTTCAGGTTTTTATCTTTAATAGTTCCTCAGATGTTGTTGTTCAGACAGCAGAGAAATCTGTGTGTGAAAAAAAGCTGCTGGAAGTGGGAGACGAGCACTTTTTAAATGATCTCGTATTTGATATGTCGAGGTCAAATTTCACAGATACTATTTTAAATATCAAAAATGTACAATCAGACCAGAGATGGTCGAGCAGAAGGCGAGAAAATGATAAAATGCATTGTTTTGTAATTTTAGTGAACTCGTCCTTTAATATTCATGGTTTGCTTTTTGTTTGTTGTTCTGTAGTGACGAGGCGGAGGACGCTGCCACCAGCAATCAGCTAACGGAGTCTGATGACACTAAATCTGAGCCGCTCACTGTGATTGAACAGCCGGAGGTCACAGCACCTCAACCTACTGCGAACCAGGCCATGAAAGGTACCTGCAGACGTTCTCCACTGTTTGTTCCTCCAGGATTTTGAGGCCGACCTTCCTTCTAACCCTAATCGATGGACTGAGGTTGGAGGGATCCTCGCTGAAAGCTGATTTAAAGTCTTAATGACGGGTCGCATCGTCGTGGGAGTCAGATTAGACTTTAACACAAGAGCATAGCTGCTATCAGACATGAATCCTTTTCTATTAATCAGACGACATCTGAACGTGAAACTTGTACAAAATGACTTAATGTGTCCAAAATGAAAGAAAAAACAAACTAAAATGACTCATAAACTAAAATGACTCATAAACTGTTAATCAGTTAAGAATCGACCAAAATCACTTTACACGTGTCCTTAACACCTGAGTTTGTACAAATGATCCAAAATGACTCGATTTGTCTTAAATTATGTATAAATAACTCAAAATGTTCAACCGAGTCACCGGTTGGCGTCCCGGTGAGGACACCCGGGATCTTCCTGCGTGGAGTCTCCATGTTCTCCCCGTGCAGCGTGGGTTCTCTCCGGGTTCTCCGGCTTCCTCCCACAGTCCACAAACATGCTGAGGTTAATTGGTGATTGTAAATTGTCCGTAGGTGTGAATGTGAGTGTGCTTGGTTGTCTGTCTCTAAGTGTAGCCCTGTGATAGACTGGTTACCTGTCCAGGTGAACCTGCCTTCACCCTGAGTCAGCTGGGATAGACTCCGCCCCCCATGACCCTGGTGAGGATGAAGGTGTAGAGATGATGGATGGATGGTTCAAAATGACTGAAAAAAAATGTCCAGCTAACATTATTCAACGTTGGATATATAAGCTGTTTAGATGGACTCAGAATTGTCCAAATGTCTTGAAATTTGTCTAAAATGACTCGAAAACTGTCCAAGATGACTTAAAAATTGTTCAAAATGGGACAAAAATTGGGCAAACGTCCTCAAAAACTGTCCAGGATTACTAGTTTCGTCTAAATTAGGTATAAATTCTCCAGATTTAATCAAAAACTGTCTGAAACTACTCACAAGTTTCCTAAATGACTAAGAATGCCCAGATTTACTTCGGCTCAGTGTCTGAATGCTCACTTCTCTATAAATCTTAAATTCACTTCCAACACAACTCTGAGCTGCCTGCAGTCGCTTCAACAGCTGCACTTTGTGAAGTCGTTTGAAGATTTCTTTTCTATGTTTTAGCACCAATGTTGGTCCAAAAACATCACAGAGAGAGAAAAGACACAGTTTGATCATCATCGAACATTTTTCTCGTTCGCTTTGATCTGTGAGTTCTTTTAGTCTGTGACGGGTCGGACTGATGATGAAGTTCAGTTTGTTGCTTCCAGCTGTTTAGATTTCTTTCCTCTGAGTTTATTAAAGACCTGCAGGATCCATATTCCATTGCTGATATTTTTAAAACGTAAATATTAGGCTTTTATTTCTGAACAGTCTTTGTAAATATCCACGCTCCCAGCTGGCTTCAGCTAAACATCAGCTCTCCTTCACGTCTAACGTCTGCTTTCTGGTTTCCGTCTCGTAGCGAAGCTGGCTCGTCTCTCCCTCGCTCTGCCTCCTTTGGCTCTCACGCTCCCCCTCACTCCCACCGGCAAGGGAGGGTTCGGCGACGGACCGATCGGGAACCGGATCGGCCGACGGAGAGGCCTGTCGTCGAGCAGCGATCCCGACGAGGAGGAGGAGGACGAGCCGGACGACGAAAGCTCCCGCCGGGTGATCGTCGTCACGGAGACGGACGTGGACAAGCGCGTCGGGCTGAGGAGTCTGCTGAAGTCGCCGAAGGAGGCGGCGGACAGAGAGAGGGACCGAGGGCGGAACGTGTCCTTCTTTGATGATGTCACCATCTACCTTTTTGATCAGGTACTTCCTGCTCGCTCTGTCACCGATTCACAGGAGTCACAACCAGATGAACGTCTGATTCTCCGTTTCTTTGCTTCAGGAAACTCCAACCAATGAGTTGAGCTCTTCGACGCCCACGAGTCCGGCCTCGGTGTCCGTCAGAAACACCAAGCTGGACTTACACGGTGAGGTCATCAACATGAGACGATGAGACGCAGGTTGTTTATCAGTGCTGACGTCGTCCTGCAGGTCCGACCACCTCCTCCTGTTCAGATTAGACCATCTGAGCAGCTGCTTGATGCAGGTCTTCACAGTCAAATTATATAAAAAATGATCTAAAAAGACTCCAAATGGTCCCAAAACTAGTCTGTTTAAAATGTGATTTTAAAAAAAGTCTAAAACGATTCAGAAATAGTCCAAAGATCACTTTAAACCTTCTTGAATTACACAAAATGTGTCCATAACCACTCAGTAAATATCCAAAATGACTGAACTGTCCAAAGTTAACTACAGTTTGTCCCAAATTACTTAAAAATTGCCCACAATGAGTTATGAGCAGTCTAAAGTCATGTGGAACTTCTTTTGAACACCTGAATTGGTCCAAAATGAAACGAGACCCGTCCTAAATGATGTGAAAATGACTCGAAATCTCACCAAAGTTACATTCAAATGTCTAAAGCATCGACCCACAGCTTCTACAGAGTGTAAAACAAGATCATGTTTTGATAAAAACAGACAAAAAATGTCTTGAAATTAGTTAAAAATGACCTAAAAATGGTCTAAAATGACTGGAAATGTGTCCAAAATCGAAATAGGATTGTTATTTTTTTAATTTACAAACTGCAGAGTGTCTGAGCGGTGTTGCAGCTGTTCCTGCCTGATTTAAGGATGATCTTTGAGGTTTCAGCAGGAAGCAGTGGGCTCGTTCCTCATTCGTTCAGCTCAACACGACGTGATAACGCTGTTCGGTTCTGTTTCTCTTCCGTGTGGTTTCACCTTAAGCTGCCGGATGACGTGATGAAATGTGACAGCAGCTAATTCGTCTGAAATAAAAACCTTGAGCTGGACCGACTCTCCTCCGAACCCTCAGCCGGAGTTAATCTGCTGTAATTATCCGTCGACTCGCTGACACGCCGAGCCGAACGCAGACATTAATCCTGAACTCAACAATGGGACTCGAGTCGTGTGCGGCTGCTCTCTCGACTCTCCATCTCGTCAGAGTCACCGAGGTTCAGGCTCAGAATCTCCTTCTGGTCTCCGCTCACACAGAAACACCAAAATTAGATGCTTTCATGATCCTCCGTAGCCTTTTCAGTTGGATTTCAAAGCTCTGAGAGGAGACGCTGAGTTCCCTTTGAGTTATTTTTACCCGGCTTCAGTCTGCTCGTATTAATAGATGACGATTATTAGTTTATTTCTGCCCTGCGTTCAGTTCGGCTCCGATGCTTCGCCGTGTGGCGGCAGTCATGAAGCTACACGTGTCCCAGACGTGGTTGGATTATGGTCTGAGGAGCAGGAACACTCTGATACCAGTTAAAGTCCTGCGTTCAGACTGTCCACATGACTCGTAATCTGTTTAAAACGTCTCAAAGTGGGTCAAAAAGTCTTGAAATGTGTCCAAAATGACTCTAAGGTTTCACTGTGTCTCAGTAGTAATGAAGCTCGGTGTGTCCCAGTCAGGGGTCAAGGTCAGAGGTCAACCAGGAGAAACACAAAAACCACTCAGGAATGAGCTGAAATTACACAGAAGTGACAAAAATTTGTTGAAATCATTCAAAAGTTACTTTAAACCTCTAAAATGTCCAAAAAAAATGTCCAAACCTACTCAGATATTGTCCAAAATGACTAAATCTGTCCAAAACGACAAGAAACATGGGACTCAATGTCCACAATAAGTTCAAATAAAACATAAAAATTGTCCAAATTTACTTGAAACTTGACTGAATGACTTCAGACTCGTCCTCAATGAGTCAATTTCCCCAAAAGGAGCTAAATAAACCCCAAATTATTTTTAAAATGTCAACAATTGGTGAGTATTTGTCCAAAATAGGTTTAAAGAAACGTTCCAAAATCACTTAAAGCTGGTCGGACACGACTCGATTTATCTCAGATCAGATATAATTTCAATGAATCAGAATGAGTTCAAAATGTCCAGAATGACTTGAAGTTTGTTGAACCCTGGACTCGTTGGACTCGTTGGACTCGTTGGACTCGTGTGTGACCTTTAAATATTAAAACTTTATCGCTGTCATCACTGATTCTGTCCCCGCCTCCTTCAGGGCCCAACGTCAGGAGCAAAGAGTCGAAGAGGAAAGACGACCTGTCCATCAAGCCCAGGTCGCCCGTGGGAGCCAACCCGGTGACGTCATCGCGCTTCACGGTGAGCCCCGCCGACGACCCCCACCTGGTGTGATGCTGCACGTCGTCGTCACGGCGACCCCCGGAGCCTCTCGGACTGGCCAGCGAATCGACCCGACAACCAGCCGCTCACCCAGAGGATATTTTTTTATTGAAGAGTGAGACTCCGGTTCTTACAGCTGGACACATTCCAGGTTCTACCAGCAGGACGGAGCTGCCGCCGTTTACAGAGTTTATCAGAGACGCCTGAAGGCAGCGGGCAGGAGGAGGAGCAGGAGGAGGAGCCTGGAGCTTTGTACAGTCTGACACAGATTTGACAGCTATGCAGTGGGAGTCTTGCTGTGAACCAGCTTTTCCTTCTTTTTCTGCTTCGTTCCGTTTCCGGCTGCACTTTCTTTAGTCCGTCATCCGTCGGTGTGAACGCTCCGTCCTCTTTATTAAAGACGTTTTCCATGGCAGTCAGTCGTCCTCGTAGGCAGCAAACAGAAACCGCTCGACTCCTGTATTTGAAGAATAGCATTTGTACAAATATCATAATACGAGTGTAAACAATACCATTTTAGAGCTGTTTACTTTTAGATGTATTCTTAGACTGCACGAAAAATCCAACCAGCTTTTATTATTGTTTCAGTTCGGAGAAGCTTTCCTTTCCTTGCTCCCATTCTCCCATTTCTATATTTATTATTTTGTTGATTTGTTTATGTAAAGCCCATGCAATACCTAATTTATTTATTTATTCTTCTATTTATTTATTTATTTGCTTTGGTGCGATTAACATATATGAACTTAGCTCTCATTTGTTTGGGACAGAATGCATCTAGGTTACACCTTCTCTAAGATCTTCATAACAAATAAATCAAGAATATTTTTCCCAAACGTCTTAATTGCTAAAAAACTAAAAAAAGTATTTTGTATAATTTTACTTGTTAATATATGCCGATCTGTATGGAACTATGTCCTGTAACGTTTCATTATTTTCCTATGTCTATGGATTTTTAGCTGTCTCGTCATTCTTTCCTCTCGTTTTGATGACGGTTAATGTAGCTTAGCATGAAAAATCGAAGCCTCTCATGAGTAAATAACTCCATTAGTTTGTGTATCCGTTAATTTTCTCCATTTTCTACTAATAACAGTCCATCATGCAGTCGAGGTCCAACTAGTCCATTTGTTTAGTCTGTTTAAATGTTGGTTTAAACTTGTATTGTTTAAAGATGGTTTTCAGGGGGTGATGTATAAACAAGGGAAAATAAAAACTACAAAATGTGAACCAACCTACTGGAGCCGTTTCATGACAATAAATCGCATTATTTGAAATCATAAAACAGTGAATTCCTCCACAAGAAAGTTTGTGTATTTGGGCAGAAACGTCACCAGGAATTTAATTTCCTGAGTCATTAAAGTTAAATAGTACAAATTCAAATTATGTGATTTAAATCAAATTTTTGTATAATTATTTGACAAGGTGTTAGTTTTAAAAAATGCTAATTTAAGATGTGCAAAATAAAGTTATGCTTTTATGAGTATTGCCTCCATTTCCCAGAAAGCCGTGCGGCGCTGTGACGTATTTAACCTGCGACAAGCGACGCTACAAACAGCGGCGCACAATCTCAAAGCACAAACAGAAGAAAACAGCGCAAAAGAAGCAGTTTGACAGTCGCACATAAGAAGTAAAGCCTCCAGGAGACGCTTTTGTTTTATATCTTCAGCAGATTTGAACTTCGGAGGTGAGTTAATGTTATTTAAGAGCTTTTATTAAACGTAGAACCAACGTTTGCTAGCGCTAGCTAGCTAGCTAGCATCGTTACATCCAATGAGTTAGCGGCAGACACTGATACAGGAGATAAATCCTGATTTATTATTTGGTTGCACGAAATGGGGAAAATATCTACTTTTGATTTTTCTGACAGATATTACGACATATACATATATATAATTTTTCAAAGTCCAACTTCAGTTCAATATTTACTGTATAAAACATTAAAACGTGATGGAGATTTAACACATGAAACACTAGATTCTATTATTATTATTATTATTATTATTGTTATTGTTATTATTGTTATTGTAGTCTGATGCAAAGACGAGAACCTGGAGATATAAAATGCTCACATCATGTATTTATTACCTTTTTATGTAGCATTGAACAGTTGGTGCAAAAGCTGTGACTGTTAAGTCCAGTTAGAAACGTAATAATATAAAAAATAAATCAAATTACTTCCATTATAAAATAATAGTAAGCCCTTTCTGTGAACTATTTCTACTGACACATGTCTGTAATTTATGGGTCAGGAGCATCTAAATAATGCACATTCTGCAATCAAGTTATACAGTAAAAATCCTAAAAGTAATTTCATTATTTCTGCAACTGCAGTTTCAAGTTAAGATCACGTAATTGTTCAGCCTTAAATTATTGCAAAATCAGTTATTTGTCAACTGTTTAACTAATCTCCAACTATTTTTGATAATCTATCAGTCTGAGTCATGTTTTTAACGAGCAGAACGTCTAAATTCTGTCTTTTGTAACTTCCTAAATGTGACTGTTTTCATTTTTCTTTCCTCCTCTATGACCGTAAACTGATTTGAGGAAACACTGATCATCTTTTTTCATTATTTTCTGACATGTAGAGACCAAACTGAGATCAGGGATTGAGCAAATAATCAACAGATTAATCAATAAAGAAAGTCGTCATTCGTTGCAGCCTTATTTTTTGGGTCATTATTTATTATATGTAGTTTATTGATGTTGTCTGAGGGGCTGAACGTGACCGTGACAACCTGAAATTATGATTCCAACAATATTTATACACAACTCCCATCCCAATAAATTCATCATATGCTGTTTTGTTGACTGATTAATTGACTTTAAATCAATTCTGTGGGTTCAGCTTCTTAAATGTGAATATTTTCTGGTTTCTTTGACCGTAAACTGAATATCTTTGAACTAAACAAGACTTTTGTGGAAAACACTAATTTTTCACAGTTTTTTGACATTTTTTTAGACTAAACAGTTAATGAACTAAGCTAGAAACTAAACGACAGATTAATCAACAATAAGAATAATTTTTTACGCCCCCCATCACTCAGCTACACCCTCAGCACCCGGGGATCATTTAGTTTATGTTTGAAGCTGATCTGAGTGGCTTTAGCTTATTAATCACCTCTTTCTCCTGCAGATGTCTCTGGCAGACGAGCTCCTGGCCGACCTGGAGGAGGCCGGAGACGAGGGGGAGGACGAGCTGTACGCAGAGGAAGACGAGGGGGAGATTGATGGCGAGGCGATTCAGGGAAGGACGGATGGAGGGCTGGAAGACATCCCAGAGGAGATGGAGGTGGACTACAGCAAAGCCGAGAGCGTCACGTCCATCGCCAAGCTCCGCAACAGCAAACAGGTCAGTGTTTATCGTGTGGTCGCTTTACACAAGGAGCTTTTTGCACTGATGTGTCTCATCATGTGTGTTTACAGTTTTCAGAGATCATGGACAAGATTTCAGGATATATCGGAAAACAGCGCAAGAACTCAGAGGGTGAGGGCAGTTTTTCATTCCTTCGTTTGTCTCTTAACATCAGAAACGTGACACTCTGTCGTGTTTACAGGCTCATTCACGGCATTTAACTGAAGTTTAATGTTGTGTTTCGTTTCAGTCTCGGGCCCAGTGGAGGCCGACCCAGAATACAGACTGATCGTAGCAGCCAACAACCTCACAGTGGAGATCGACAACGAGCTCAGTGAGTCGGCTCTTCCTCCACCGTGGGATTCACAAGACGAGAGCTGAGGATTAAGTTTCCTTCTGTCTAACCCGAAGTGTCTTCTGTGTTTCTGCTCAGACATCATCCACAAGTTCACCAGAGACAAATACTCCAAGAGGTTTCCGGAGCTCGAGTCTCTGGTTCCAGATTCTCTAGATTACATCCGCACAGTCAAGGTGAGTGGAGAGATTTATTCAGCTTTGGAATCAGAAATCCATTCAGAATGAGAATAACGGATCTGTCAGACGTGGGATGTGTGACAGCAGCGCATTCAGACATTGTTTGGTTCAAAAGTGGATTCGTTGCCGTTGATCAGTCTGAGCTGTTTTCATCGCGTTGACGTTAGATTTTTATTTTGATTTGTAATAAAGTTGAACAGCAAAGTTAATGAGAATGATTTTCAGACTGTCTTTTGCTCACCGTCATGTTTTTGTTTTTTGGACAAATATTGTTTCTGAAATGTGAAAAAAACAACAACCTTCAAATGACTTCACAACATTGTGTTACGATCTGTGTGTCGTTCTGTTGATGTGGCTGCATTAAGTTCAGACCTGGACTCTTCTCCATCAGTCTGATGTCATCTGATCACATCGAGTTCGTCTGAATGAGCGTCCTGCTCACTGTGGTGATGTTAGTCGGTTTGACTGAGTACCAGTTACTGCAGCCACATGAACCGTCACTGCTGCTCAAGTAGCACTGGACTCACTGGAGTTGTGTGAAGTGATTTACAGACTTTTTTTTTTTAAAACACATTTCAGCTCCACTATTGGTCCAAAAACACAACCGAAGAAGCAGCAATGTTGCGTATCACATATCTGAAAAGGTCTAAAGATTGCTGTTAGGACAGCAGAGTGAGCACGTTTGAGTTTAAGATGTTTAGATGCCGCCAGATTAACGGAAAGAAGAGCAGCTCTGAAAGCAGCTCGTGAGGTTCAGAGGTGCTGCATTGACTCAGCTGTTGACTGTTTGTGTCTTTAGTGGGGCAGAAGAAATGTTTTTTTTTTTAGTTACTGAGGAACTTAAATGATTTCAGTTCTCTGCACCAGTTGAAGTGTTGGTAGCTCGAACCTCTGTGGCTCTGCATTCAAGCATCCCAGGAGAGTGGACGGGTCATTAGCAAAGCTAAGTGATGGCTGAAGAGTTTATTATCACTTTGCAATTAATGTTGGTGGACGTGTAGAAGATAATTAGACACCTTCGTCGCCTCAGTGTCTGAGAATCCAAACACGTTTTATCAGAATGTTTTAAAATGATGAAGCCCTGCAGCTCACAGCAGCTATGTCATCAGAAACTCAGGTTTTTACTTTGTCTTCTGCTTTGTTTTGCTCAAACAGAACCGGTTAAAACTCTCGTCCTTTGATTTTAACAGTGGCTGTTACGCGTTTTTGTTTTTGTGGTTCCTCAGGAACTTGGGAACAATCTGGAGAAATGCAAAAACAACGAAACTCTGCAGCAAATCCTCACCAACGCCACCATCATGGTTGTCAGCGTCACGGCCTCGACCACGCAGGGGTCAGTCCACCCAGTCCGGACTGTTGTCATACTGATCAGGGCTTCAGTCAGTGTCTCGTGATCGCACAGTGAACACTGAGAGTTACTGTTGTGCGTTTCAGGTCGTTGCTGAGTGAGGAGGAGCTGAAGCAGCTGGAGGAGGCCTGCGACATGGCCCTGGAGCTGAACCAGTCCAAACACAGGATCTATGAATACGTAGAGTCCAGGATGTCCTTCATCGCCCCCAACCTGTCCATCATCGTCGGAGCGTCCACGGCTGCCAAGATCATGGGTGAGCAGAAGAACCCGGACGTAGATTGTTGTGTTTGCTGGTGCCGTTTCTGATCCGGCATCTCCTCCGGCTGCAGGTATCGCCGGAGGCCTCACCAACCTGTCCAAGATGCCGGCCTGTAACCTGATGCTGCTGGGCGCCCAGAGGAGGACGCTGTCCGGCTTCAGCAGCACCGCCCTGCTGCCCCACACCGGCTTCATCTACCACTGCGACGTCGTTCAGTCTCTGCCGCCCGTCAGTGAAAACGTGCACAGAAACCACATTTAACTCGGCGCCGAGGATCGCTGGCTGATGACTTTCTGCCCTGTTCTCATCCCTCAGGACCTCCGGAGGAAGGCGGCCCGGCTGGTGGCAGCTAAATGCACTCTGGCAGCCCGAGTGGACAGTTTCCACGAGAGCTCAGACGGCAAGGTTGGTGTTTAGAAGAAGCACGTGCACATTAATCCTGCAAACACAACTCAAGTCCATGTTGATCACGACAGTCTTGAGCTTCCAGTGACTCGTAAAACTCAGTGAAAGTCAACAACAAGCCTGCATTTTGTTTCTCTCATACATTTATTAACGCTCTCCTGGAAATGTGACGACATCCTGAGTAGTAAAATCATCCTGACAATGGCCTCCTAGCGCTCCGTGCACACATTAAAGATCAACACAATAACAGCTGCTTTACCAGTGTGGCTCTCAGTTGTTTTACAAATGTAGGATTTATTGTCAACCTCATGGATGCATCAACAGATCAGGTTTTATTCTGTCACCGTGAATGAAGTCGCCTTTTATGAATGTCTACGTGCAGACTGGAAAAGAAGTCCCTTTATTTTGTCTCTTTGGGTTAAAATCTGTGCGTCTCTTTCTGCAGGTCGGCTACGATCTAAAGGAGGAGATCGAGAGGAAGTTTGATAAATGGCAGGAACCTCCGCCGGTGAAGCAGGTCAAACCGCTGCCGGCTCCTCTGGACGGGCAGAGGAAGAAGAGGGGAGGACGAAGGTAGGTGATCCGTCAGACGGGCTGCTGAGGGGAAGGAAAAAGGTGGACATTTGTGATTTTATTCCCAGTGAATCCTGAAGAAAACGACATGAAACTGATCAACATTCAAACATGCAGCATCATCGGGGAACAAAGACACATCGAGGAGAGGCTTACGTAACCCGCAGAGCCCAGTTTAGAAAACCAGCACCGACTCTAAATATACATAGAGCACGACTGAACGCTGGCGCTCTTGTGTGTTCTCCTGCAGGTACCGAAAGATGAAGGAGCGACTCGGCCTCACCGAGATCAGGAAGCACGCCAACAGGATGACCTTCGCAGAGGTCGGTGCACGTCGTCTGCTCCGTCTCGGCTCCTTTCTGCTCGTTTTCATGCACTAGAGGCTCCAGTGTTCATGTTTGTGTCTGTGAGCCGTCGACTGTTTTTGCATTAAGACCAAAGCAAAGCGTGGACAGAAGAAGCTGAAACATGCACATAAATGATGGTCAGAGTAGATGATTCACTTTGCTGAACGTTTAAATTTGAAATGCAGAACCCTCATCGCTCCATCATGTCTTTACATGAGCTCAGTTCCACCACAGCGGCTCCGTCCTGAGAGGACCATCACCAAACCGGCTCCAGCTTTTTCCTGCAAAGTAATACGATGAGATTTACAGTTTTCGTCCTGCTGCTACTGAATATAATCATTCAGCTCCAGAACTTCTTTATTTTATTTTCTCCGACAGAGAACCTTCAAGCTCTGGACTGTCTGGTATTCAAAACTCTGACCCCGATGTTTTCTGGATTAATTAATTAGTTGTTTAGTCTCAAATAGTGAAAATGTGGATCCGTGTTTCCTCAGATGTCCGTCTTTGTTCAAAGATGTTCAGTTAACTGTCAGAGAAACTAGAACATGACTAGAATATGGACTTTATTTACTTAAAACATCACGAAAATCAAATCAAGATAGTTGGCGATTGATTTAATAGCTGGTGGGTTCCTGACTGGTGGTCGAACAGAAGAACGTGTCCTTTGGTTTAAACACACTGATGGACGTTTTCATCATCGTGACACGTTTTAGAGACAAAACAACAACAAAAAATCCAAAAGCCAAGAAAGTATTTGTTGGTTGTTGCCCTAAAGAGCACCAAAAATAATGATTTGTTAGTAGTTTCTCACGTCTCTGTAGGTATCTGGTCTCTAAAAGGTCCAAAAAATGTGGACCAGAGTTTCCTCGAGTGTCTGGTTGTGTCCAAAAATGTTCAGTTCACTGTCAAGAAACTAGAAACTATTCACGTTACACAAGAATTTAGATTAATTATCAGAACAGTTTTTAATTTCAAAGCTGACATCTGATCAGCTGATTGTTGCTTCTCTGATCGACTCGGTGATCAATCAGCTGATGCTGAACTTCATTACAGAGTTTTGACGATTATTTTACTTGTCAACTGTTTTCTGATGAATCGATTGGTTGTTGCTGTAAAACATTGATCTGCGCTTCTCAAAGCCCAAAGCGACAAACGTCTTGTTTCGTCCAAAGATGTTCAGATTGCTGTCATAGAAACTAGAACATGTTCATGTTCAGGAATCAGAGAATTTAAACACAAACGAGTCCAGATGATGAATCGATGATGAAATGAAAAATACTTTATTCATCCCAGAAGGGAAATTCAATCCTGTAAAAGCTCACCTTTCTTTTTTCTTTTTTTTTTTTTTTTAAAATCAATATGATCGAATAATCGAATGAATCGATGATGACGTGTGTGATCAGCTGCTGCAGCTTTAAGCTCCTCTCTGGTGTTTCAGATCGAGGACGACGCCTACCAGGAGGATCTGGGCTTCAGTCTGGGTCAGCTGGGGAAGAGCGGCAGCGGCAGAGTCCGGCAGGCTCAGGTCAACGAGGCCACCAAGGCCCGGATCTCCAAGTCCCTGCAGGTCAACATCCACGGATCCTTCTCACTCCAACACCTGCTCAGGGGGGATTCTTCTTGGTCTTCTTCTTCTGAAACATCTTGTCTTGTTCTCCACCACAGAGGACGCTGCAGAAGCAGAGCATGACGTACGGAGGGAAGTCCACGGTCCGGGATCGGTCGTCAGGAACCAGCTCCAGCGTCGCCTTCACTCCCCTGCAGGTAAGAACCTCTCACACCTTCTACGGCCGTCTGAGCAGCTGTCGGGCGGGTTCAGCTCACGGTGTTGTGCTGTCGCTGCAGGGTCTGGAGATCGTGAACCCTCAGGCTGCAGAGAAGAAGGTGGCTGAAGCCAACCAGAAGTATTTCTCCAACATGGCCGAGTTCCTCAAAGTCAAGAAGGAAGCGAAGATGTGAACGCCGACTGTTAAATGTGTCCCGCGTTGTGCTTCATCCTCTATCTTATTTTTATTTTTTAACTTACACTTTGTCCAGTTTAATAAAATGCGTGAAGATTCCAAAAGTGTCGTCTCATTTTTTAGCAGGAAAACACTGAGTGGCATGAACAAGATGCTCTTAGTGGTGATTATCTGCAAGGAGCTCAGGATGAGCAGACATAGCAGATACATACGAGATGTGGCGACTGGATAGCGAGATGGACGCTGTCAGTCGCTGTATTGAACTTGAGCAGGTTGAAACGACGGTTGGTAGATCAGTGGTGAATTCTTATTTGTGTCTGCAGCTCTTCTGATAGCTGAGATCTCAGCTGCAGTAACTTTTTAATGGATAAAACTAAGTTCTGTGATTTCAGCTCTTAATTATCAGTATTTTCTGCTCTCTTTCTCCTGACAGTCAACTGAATATCATTTGTACAAAACAAGAGATTTGAGGAAACTCTGATCTACATTATCGACATACTATACCATGACTTTTTAAAAAAAATGACATACTATACCATGACTAAATTAAAGCTGCAAGCGGCGATGGACGGGTCCTCGCCCTACGCTTGTCGGCCTTCACGCACGGCGGGGTGTGGGGCAAACCTGCTCCGGGCAGGACTGTGATCCGGCATGTCAAGTTTGGGGCAGATCGGAGCAAGTGTGGCCTAGTTACGAGCCACTTCCTGTTTAGTGGCGAGC